GCAGGCCGCCCTCGCCGCTTCAGAACCTTCTGATGGCCATCTTGTCGGGCGCTGGTTGGAAGGAGTCTACCGCGACCTCCCTCTCGGTATCAGGACAAACGGATGCTTTGCTGAAGACGTGGACTATTAACCTCATATCGCCCTGAGCCAAACGGTACTTTGTCGGCATAATATCAAAGTCAGTGCCTTTAATAGTCTGGAGTACCAGCGTCAGGAGCTGGTACTCTAGACCTTTACGTTGCTTTTACGTCAATTAAAAAGTGTTTCCATCAAAGTGTAGGCTCAGCTCAAGAAATGCGTTTATTAACGTCATGCATTCTCATTTGAAGGTGCCTTGATCTGGATTCTGCAGCGATGGTTTTCGATATACCAAATCACTCATATTGGAGGTGTACTCACCTGGATCGGCATGATGGCTTCCACATTTTCACCAACTCTTCCTTGGATGGTGATCACATTTGGCCTGATTTATGGTAATATACCTTATCTAAACGTACGATATATATTAAAAATTCATTTACATTGTTTGAAAACTGCTTTATGCTTCTAGACCAACACGTTGAACGTATGTGGAACATGATAGACGAAAACTCAGATAGATATCACCGTAATATAGAGCGGAGTAGGCTAGAAGGTGTCATCTTAGAAAAAAATGCGCTAACACCTATTTCATAAAGCTGGAGCAGGAATATCATACGTAAATATTTTTATGATAAGTTCGGTGATTTTTCTTTATCGAACACTCAACTGGTCAGCGCATCATGAGGAACATAATGTCACGGAATGGTTCGTACTAGTTTATAATTAGCTCCAATATAATGACACCTAAGAACTTATAAATTCTTCAGAATCTTACTTTCTTTTTCAAGCGGATCTGACTGACCATTTTGACTGACTGCCTTATTGTACATTCAGTTAAGTGCACTCCGGGCTCCCAAATTATAAAAAAAAAAACTTTACCACAATGACTCCGTCGCCAGAGCAGCCGCGCTACATACTCCGGTTCAAAATCTTTAATATCCCATTGTATCATCAGGTTGTAGGAGCGGTGCTTTGGGACCGGGTGTATATTTGAAGTTCCGGTTCCTGGTGCACTGAAGAAATGTCTAACATGTGTGCCATGATGATTTTAAGCCGAAACTGGGGCAGAAGGAAAAACATTTTTTTTTTTTACAGAAAGGAACAGGAATAGACAACGTCTGTCCCTGTTTCGAAGTAGGAGATAGGAGTTCAGGAATTTTTCGTCTAAACCAGAGGTATCACGGTGTGTGTGTCGTAGTTCACAGATAATGTATTTTCTTTCTTTCTCTTTTTTTTTTTGTTACTCTAAGCAGTCTATACTCGTTTTCACCTTAAGAACTGTTGCAGGAAAAAGTCCAGCTCCTCGCGAAGCACTACTAATTTCCCTTCTTACGTAGATAATTAAGATATGTATAGGTGCATTTTACATTGGATATGTGTTATCGTACCAGGACGCACACGCTTCAAATGCCAAAGTCATGGCTTCTTCCTACTACAACCAAATCGTGTGAGAACTAGTTCGCGAAGCGTATGAAATATGCGCGAAACTCTTTTTTTTTTTCTTGTGGTGAAGACAAGTTTAAAAGGTTTTTTCGCCTAAACCGAAAGGTGGTTGAGCTTTGTAAGTTGTTTCACTTAGTTTTGTGACGTAAGTGAGGGTTGTGCGTGCGACCTTGAAAACAGGATGTTCGGTAGTTTTCTGGCGGTCGTGGTTCTGTACGTATGGGGGGATATTGAATAAAGTTATCAAGTGAGTTAGAGACGTCGTCTGTCACTCTTACTTTCTTTTCCACTGCACAAAATGTTCCTCCTTCTGCCCCAGTTTCGGGTTAAAATCAACATGGTAGACTTCCATCAGCTCGCGTACGTACTGTTTGTAATTCTGCAAACTGTTGTTTTTAGTATCCCACACGTCCGTTGCAACGGAGAGTCCCCAAATCTGCTACGAATTACCGAGTATCTTTGAGAAAAATAAACCATGTTTTAGCCATCGCACAAATAAAATACTCACCGCCGAACTCTGAGTGTCCACATGAGTGCGGTGCTACACTTTGTTTTACCTTAATTAAGTCGAAGCGTGGTACACGCTACGAGATAAAAGGGGAAACGACGCAGCGCCAAAAGCGCACCGCGTTACCGTCGTCAAACCACTCAAACTGAGTGGATACGCCGTCATCATCCGACTTTAGCCTGTCCATTAGTATTTCTGTATCTTCTTTTGCCTATGACTGCGTTCGAACTTATGACCCAAAGGAGTATAGTGGTTCGGATACGTGCCGAATATTTCAGGTCATAGTGTGATCAAAATTAAAAGTTACAACACGCAATTCTTATTGAGATAGTGCCGACTAACGGTGTCCGCAATTCTACGCAAGCTGACTAGCCTCGACTGCCTAAAACTTACCCTATTTTTCTCAATTATCTTTTTTCTGAAAACCACTTAAAACGTTTGCGTGAGGTAGCGCCAAGCTTTGGAAACTTTTCATCCAAGCGGCTAGCTCCAAATTCCGGGCGAGTCTGGTATTTCGGCGAAGCATTATTTATTTTAGAAACTCGTTTCTTCCACTAGCACTCGTGAAGCCACGGGAGTCGCCGTATGGTGGATGGTCTTCGAAGCGCTGGCCAAAACAACAAACGGAAGCAGACATCGCTTCCGTTTGTTGTTCCGTCGTCAGAGACCCAAAACGTGTCTGCCTGAATCTCCGCCGAAACTGCGGCCGCAGAGCAATTGAAAACGCAAAACCGAAGTCTGGCCTTTCCACCTAAGCTGTTCAAAGATCGCAAAAATACTCAGTGCTACGTTTTTCTGACTTAACCCGGGGGAAACGATGGGATAAAAAAAAAAGAAGCAATAAAACATAAGCAGGAGACGCGTGCAAGTCGTCATAGGTTAGAACCATTGAGCGTCGTATTTTCCATGAACAGTATTATATTGTCCGATAGTTTACCATACACAGGGTGTCCCAAATAACTTGCACCAAACTTCGAAAAAAGAAAACAAACCGCTCTGTGGGATTCAAACCAACTGTACTTTGTGAAGACGCGTTTTACGAAAGTGCTCGGATTTGTTTTAGTGCGCCTACTTGTTTAATTAATTCAGATGAATTAGCTGATTTTTAATGATTAGTTTAAGGGCTGAGCTGTGTATTGGGAAAGTTGTAGAGCGCATTGAGGAGAACTCCATTAAGGTGTCTGCTACATGATGCGCTTTGCGTGCGTTTTATTAGCCTAAAAAAATCCCCCGCAATATATAAAAAAAAAACAGAAAAACATGACAGCGTGTTTCCGCGTCGCGATTGCAGCGCTTTCAGACGGCTCTGATGGAACGAAGCCCTCCTTATCACTGGCAAACTGTCTGAGACAGGGCTTCGTGTTGGTGAAGGCGCCAATGAGAGGCGCGAGCATCAGCTGCAGCAAAGCCCTACCTCGGACAGCGCGCCGCAAACGGGACGCGCGGGAGCCTTGCCGCGTGATCTTTATTTATATATATTTATTTCGCGGGTTTTTTTTTGGCTAATTAAATGAAGCACGCAAAGCGTATCATATAGGAAACACCTTAATAGGGTGTTTCTCAACAAGCTTCACAACTTCTCAATTAACACCTCGGCCCTTAAAGGAACAAATAAAAGTATTAGCAAATTAGTCTTAATTTATTAAAAAAAGTAGACGCACTAAAAAGTAGTCGAATTTCGTAAGGTACTTGCTAATAACATACAATTCGTTTGGCAGAGCACAATTTGTTCTAAGTTATATGGGACGAAACCTTTAGTCGAAAAAAAAAAACAACTATGGCGCCGTAGGTCTGAGCCGTAAGTGTGCTTTGAAGTTGACAGAAATGTTTAAAGGAATGCTGAGCCAAAAATCGAATTTCAGAAAACAACGCAGAATCGATAGGCGGGACGCTGCAAATTCCAAAACGTAACTTATAAAGCGGTATCTCCAACGGATCCTCGTATTTTTGTAAATGAACAGCGTGCTCGCACAAGCCCCAAAAAGACGCGTGACCTCGCGATTCCCATTTCCTCCTGTTTTCGCTTTGACTCCGTGGGGGCGTGGAGAGGAAAGGAAACGAGGCCATTTCTCTTCCCTCTCAACTCTTCCCTCTCTTCCCTCTCAACTCTTCTGCGATAAGATGGCGTCAACATTCTCCCTCATTTGCTCGTTTATTTTCCAGAAATACGGCCATCCGCTTGAGATATGGCTATATGAGTGATGTTTTGTGGTTCATGGGGCCCCGTAGAACACTGCTGCAAGCTTATTTTGTGAACTCTGAATTTCGGTTCAGCATCCCTTTAAACATTTCTGTCAGCTTCAAAGCATACTTACGGCTCAAACCTACGGCGCCATAGTTTTTTTTTCTACTAAAGGTTCTAGTGAACAAATGTGGAATAGAAATGAGAAACTCGAATAAAAAAAGACATCGGCATTTTTGTTTAAAAAAAAAAAAGCTTGTAACATAATCGAGTCGTATTGGTGTTTATGTTATCTTTTTTCTAAAAGATAAATATTCTTTTAAAAAACGTGATCGAACCGGATATTTTTAAGTGTGCGCAAAAACATTTCGGGTGGCACAAACATTCAAAAGAATGTAGCAAGGGCCACTCAGTCCCTCGTGGGAATGTTTCTTACACATTGATCATCGTCACAAATTCGGTATCCCGTGGTGCCGCTCTAATTTATTTTTTCATCCTTCACTCCTAAAACTTCCAATGATTGTAATCGTTTACGTACGTCACTAATAACAATCTTTGACTACAGACTTTTTGTGCTAGTATAGCTATCTACCAGTTCCCTACCGTTTGAGAATTTATGTTGTTCCGATTGTGCTTTCTTTTTTCCATATTTTATTTCCCACTCACCTATGTAATGCCCCCATACCTTGAGGGTAAAATAAATTTAAAAAACACTTAGTAGTGACAATTATTTTTTTTTCAGGTACCGGCTTGGGGATTTTCACAGTTTCTCTCGGGATCATCACCATGATGTACTTTGACCAGTACAGGGGCATTGCCAGTGGAATCATTTTCGCAGGATTCTCCTTGTCATCCTTAATCTTTGCGCGAGTACTCGTAATAATCCAAGAAGTGTATGGCTTTCGGAGTATCTTTTTGTTATGTGGGGCCATTATGATGAACTCTACTGCGCTCGTCATTCCATTAAAAGAACCTCAATGGAAGAAACCTAAAGAAACTTTTTATAAGCATCAAGATTGTCCTCAAATCAGTTGGATTGATACAAACATCAAGCAGGAAAGCTCCTTTCCCCATAGACATTCATTTTCTGAACCTCCAAGTTCATTCAAACACGTGACTGCGAGGAAGTCAATGAGGCTGTTTCGAAAACCCTTATTTTATGTGATCATCGTATACTCGGTCCTTGGAGATTATACTAGACTCACCTTTCAAACAACCATCGTTGACTACGTTATGGACAAAGGTTTTTCTCTTACTGCGGCGGAATCACTAGTGATATATTACTCTATAACCGAGTTGCTTGGACGCGTGGTCATTTCTATCATTGCAGATCGAAAAGTGGTAAATCGCAGCACTCTAGTGGCGATAACCCTTTGTATGTTGGCCTGCGCAGTGCTGCTTCTACCTCACGCCAGTTCGTTTTCATGCGTCCACGTTGCGTGCCTTTGCACAGCAATGTTTAGCGCGTTCATCACTTCAATGAAATCTGTCCTCATGGCTGACTACCTTGGTGTCGACGCAATATCTCCATGCTGGGCTATCGTGGGGCTGGCTTGTCTGCCTCTTTGGTGCTGCAACTCCATGATAATAGGCAAGTGGCTTCGTTTATTCTACTAGGAGGAAGCACGGTGTTAAACGCTTGCTGTCAAAATATGATGGCGGGTAAATTATGAATTCAATATGTACAGGGTGTGGCATTAAGACCTAGCTCAACGGAACGCCTGCCTAGGCGCTAAAAAAGTCATATGCTCTACTGAAAAACAAAAGGACATTTGAAAATCAAACGGGTGGCAAACTTGTCAACCCGTTTGGATCAAACGTGATTATGGGATACGGGAACCGGTTTGATACGGGCGCCCGCTCGACCCGACACGGGCCCACACATCTCAACGTGCCCTTTGAATAGACGGGCAAATTATTCGCTAGCCCTAAATGGGTACCGTCTAGAAGGTTGGATATCTCAAACGTATTTAAGACGTCCCGAACTGGATTAATCTATTTAAAACATAAAGTAAACCCTCAGAGAAAGAGTACCCGCACAGGTGTTTGCAAACAGGCAGGAAAACAGACACAACATATTGTTTTGAAATCTCCTAGAAGTTTATTACACACAGCTTCTTCCGCAGACAAGTAGAAACGTGCAAGCGATCTGCCAAATTTGAAGAGGTACTACTAAGCTTTTATACGGCTGAGATGATTGCAAAACAAACAAGAACCGGGGTAATTGTAGGATATAGTACGTATCTATTCTCCCGGCAGCTGGAAAACAAATTTCCCCGAAATTCTGCCGGCACACGCGTCTCATTGGCGCTGCCAATCAGTTCATCAAAACAGGTCGTTTCATCGACACGCTGTTTTATCGTTTTACAGACATGACATGAAGGGTGGGAGAGGTAGGCTAACATTTTTGTAATGAGCTGTCGCAGAATGTCGCCGCGAAGCTGCGTGGACGGGTCGGCCGGCGAGGGATATACCCGCGGCGAAATGTCCCTGCAGCGTGCAGTTCGCGTAACGACTGTCGGTGATATGTTTATTGCGACGAAACGTGTCCATGGAATGTATTCAGGAAGTGCCGGGAGAACAAGAAAATCAGCATTCTACCGGCAGTTGTGGCATGATTTCAGCCAGTTAATCGCAGGCGACTGCCGGTAGAATTTCGGGGAGATTAATCGCGGCTGCCAGGAGAATACACACTGTCTAATTCTATAGATAATCTGGAAGAGCACCCGTAGATTAACGGTCACTCGTTGCCCGCAAGTATGTTGCAATGCACTTACCATAAAAATAGCGGACTTGAAAGATGTAATCCGAGGTATATGTCGATACGCGCACTGCAAAACAACCACGCAAGAAAAAAGAAAACGAGATGGCACGGCTCCGCGAAGATTCAACACGACGCGGCACAAACTGTCGCTTGCCGACCCGAACCACAACACAATAATTTCTCGGACCTCTTAGAAGAAATCGCATGTTGCCGATATACGCGCAGGCCTTTTCGCTGATAGCTCTGGTACGCTTCGAATACGTTGTCATTTTGCCACTGAATGCCACGGGAGCACCAAAGGCCGCAGCTAAGAGTTCAGGGAGAGGGAAAGGAAGGCTGGGGAGGAGGAATCAGATGGATTGCTGAAAGGAGAAGAGTCAACATCCCCCTCGCTCCCTCGCTCCAGCCTTTCGCCTGCCTCCTCCTCCCCAGCTCGCAAAACAGATGCTCCTTCATGGTCCGCGCGGGGGTGCGCTCACAAAAGACATATATAAGGGGCATCCCAACAATGAATACAGTGAGAGTATTTGTCAGTTGAATACTTCTGTGGAGTTCGTCTAAAGTGGATAGCGCAGTGGATGCCATATAAGCGGTGTACCAAGCAGTGGCCTTCAGGCAGGAGCCGTGCTCTACCTTATCACCAGCTTGGAGACTATAGTCACGTGACCTTAACCGGAAACATGATTAGAGTAAAATACGTATAGAGTCTACTCTGCTGTCAAGACCGAGTGAACAGGACAGCTGCACGATGGCTAGTTTTTAAGATTCCAAGAGAACTGCCCCGCCCAAATGTTAACGAAAAACGGAAAGTATGAAGATCCTATGTTTTACGCCCAATAACCCACATTCTAAATTGAAATTCAGAATTAACCGCGTCTTCTTTCTGCGCACTATCTCCACAAATAAACTGAACTTTCAAATGAAAGAAATGTAGCCCAGAAATAAGCTGTGCCGTAGATTTCGCAGCACGCTAATAACAGATTTTTTTATTCACGAGGGTGGTGTACATGTAACAAAAACGACCCCACTTCTTAAACCATGTAATCACGCCACAAAGTCGTCGCTTCATCACAGTCAGATCGATTGAGACGTGAGATTGGGCACGAGTGCTGTGCCAGTGTTCTGCTGGGGGTGTCGGGCTCGGACGCTATAGCAGAGTAAAAGCGATCCGACTCTAATGACTTTTCATAAAGAGAGAGAAGACCATGCGGAGGCCTTCTGTCTACGTGGTGTTTGCGAAACACGTGTGCCCATGTCGCCGCTCTGTACTTCAGTATGAAACGGGGTCACCGCGTAACGGGGGAGCCGTTTGATCAAACCGGTACAGTTTGACGAACGCCTGTAGCCCGCTTGTGCAAAATGGTCACCCTTTTGAACAAAAGGGCGACCCGCTTGCTTAAACGAGTAACCCGTTTGCAAAAACGAATCGCCAATTTCATCAGACGAGTGACCGTTTGGCTAAACGGTCACTCGCCGAAATGGGTGACCAGCATGGCTCAAACGGGTGACCAGTAGGGCTAAAAAGGGTGACCCGTTTGACAAACGTGTGATTGGTACGGCTAAACTGTTACGGTATAAACCCGTTTACTTTAATATGAGAGCGAAATATTTTTTTTTAGTAGGGTGGGGAGCTTCAAGAGTGATAAGACTTTGGGGGCGAGATTTCAACACACCGGAGGCGGGTGTACTGTTTGTAGAATATTCCTTTGTTCAAAACTGCGCGTCACCTAGTAGCTGATGCGCCAATAAACCGAGTCCATCATTGTTTGGGCACGTCCTCTCAGAAAGTTATTCGACAAGGACTGGCATTCGGCCTCATGCTTCGTGCCCAAGAAATGGCGACCGGCACTATTGCTTGAAAAGGTATTGAAAAACCGTGAATTCATACACCACGCATCTCACCGTAAAGGTTAATTTACTTGTAAAATATTCCAGAAGCCGGTACTTATCCTGATTAAAAAATTATACCGACTTGACATAACACAATAAATAATTCAATCAAACGTTTCTGTTGGCATCATCAGTGAGGCAAAGAAGAAGTAATGAGAAAAACACTAAACAGAAATCCTACTTAAAGTGGTCCACGTACACTTCGGGAAGGGGGCCGCGGTTGGAGATACCATGATTCCAAGTACCATCGTGGACCCCACCTTTGTTCCCGCGCCAAGGTCGATGCGTTCTCGAAGCCAAAACTGTGACCCATTGTCCAACAATGGTCAACCAGCTCCGTCTTTGTCCTAGTGGCATGCGTGGCTTTCGCACGTCATGGTTGCGTTCTTTCATACGGGTGCAACGTTTGTGGCCAGTCACCCCAATTGGCTATGCGTCACAATCTAGACAGTTCAATTTATACATAACAGCACGCTGGTACTCTGGGGAGGTCTTGTCTTTTGGTTTGGAAACGAAGTCACGTAGTTTAAGATGGAGTTTGAAAGCTGTTCGGATGTTTAAAGGGCGAGGGCTCTGCTAATAGACTCGAAAACACCTTTAACATACGGAATTGTTACTTTCCCTGCTCTATTACGATTTTTATTCTGACGTTTCCCTTGTCCCATCTGCTTACGCGTGTTTTCGATAAAGTGTCTAGGATAATCCCGCTCCACCACCGAGTCGACAATAGGGAGTTTTCGTTGACCGTTTTCCCAGCTCCGCTACGCTCTCCGGAACGAAGACGCCACTGCTGCGCATGCGCAGCGCTAACCTTTCCTGCAGAGTCCCATATCTCATAGCGGGTTGCGGAGAACGTTGCGGGAGAGCGGAAACGATCTACGATAACTCCCTAATAACTGTATGTTCAGATGCTCGCAGTTCCGAATTAGAAGAATTGTGTTCGGGCCGATGTAGGAGGGTTTTTACGACTGTTTTTTGTGCTCAATCGGATAATGTGAATTGAAGATCGAAAAGTTACCTGTGTCGCAAGCTTTACGGTACACAGTTGTTTCGATGTGTCCGGTACTGTTTGGTATACATTAACATCTAGGAAGGGCAGTGTGCTTTTCTGTTCTACTTCATATGTGAATTAGATTGACGGTTCAGCGCTGTTCAAAGCTAAATGAGAGTCATTAACATAGTCTTTGTTAATGACTATGTTAATAGTAATTAACTTAATAGTCATTAATCTACGAACGTGTTGTCCACGTAACGCATACAAAACCTTACTGGGTGCGCAGTCCGCTGTAGAGCGTTTTTTTTTTTTCACATAGATTTGCCACAGTCAAAAAAACCGGTCTACCCAGTGGACAACCTTCGATCTGGCGAAAGATTTGTCCACGAAATGTAAAATGAGACTGGTTGAGACAAAACCGTAACAGTATAAAAATGTCCTGGACTTTTAACTATGTGAGTGAGGGGAGCGTGTCATTATTACATAAGCGCGTTTCAGCTACTCCTGCAACTAGAGGGGTGAGAAACTTTGTAAACAATCACACATCAAAAGAAACCGTTACATCATCCTCGTCAAGGACGTGACGCCGAACATGGCCCACAAACTCCTGAGAATTACTTGCTGTCAAATCGTTTGTTTCAATTATGGGGGTGATGAGTTCAACTAAATATTTTGACAGGCTGTAAGTGGGAGAACCAATAAATGAAACAATCGGACACAATGGGCACTCAAGTCTGTGAACTTTTGGAAGACCATAAAGTATTGGAGTAGATCCGTTACTGCCTCTTGACTTCACTGATGATGTATCCCATATGAGAGACGAAACGTTTGATTACATTGTTATTTGTGTTAAGTCAGGTCGGTGCAGTTTGTTCAATAATAATTTTAATTTAATCCTGTGGCAAGAATAAGTATATAAGCTTGGCCATGCTGTCAAAGACTGGTAAGCACAGAATAAGTGGTTGACCT